TCCACAGCCCGAGGCACTCATTCTGTCATGACCAAAAGCTGTTCGTAGCGTCTGAACGGGATGTGTCCCAGGCGTGTGTGTACTACAGCTTATGGCTCCACATGAGCTGCCACATCATGACACATCTCGTCCCCATCGTCTTCAGCTTGTAGACGTTTCCATAACGCGTGGCCTCCATTACCGTCGCGTCACCATAGTGAAAGCCACATTTGTCCTTGCTGAGCTGCGTGACGACGTTCTTCTCGGCCAGCTATATACCGAGATGAGGCTTCCATCGATTTTAGGGGTGTACAGATCCCCCCGCTGCGTGACAAACTTCCCGTCCATCAGCTTCAATCCGACGGTGCCCGTAGTAAATGCGTCGATTGTCGTGTCATTCGCTATGGCGATGCGAACTGGTGTCTTCATGTCCTTTGTGGGCACGAGGCTGTCCCGGACGCTGGTCATGTGCGCGCTTGTACCTGAGTCGACGAGCCATTCAGCCTTGGTCATCGCACTTGCAGCTGTAAGCGCTAAGTCTGACACTTGCCTGCGTCACTTGTTCTCGTTCCTCGTCGGCCATCATTTTCCGGCACTCGAACTCCTTGTGCCCTAGATTCTTGCCGTATATTCACTTGGCTTTGGAGCTACTCTTGTTCCCGAAATCCTACTCTTCGTTGCAAACACTCTCTCTTGAGTCGATGACAAATCATCCGAGGCTTCAGCATCGGAGAGGGCTTGGATCGCATACGCGAGCGTAACGTTCATTGTGCTCCCCAGAACAGTCGCGAGCATACGTTACTCGTCGGCCGAGCTCACCGGTAGCAGTACGAGCTGCCAAGTCTCATAAAGAGGCTCACTGATTGACTCCATCCGGTGTACCAGATGGCAGTATTCGCTGGAGCCGCTGGTTGCGTGGCATTCTCCATGTCGAAGCGAGGCTGAGCAACGAAAGCTGAACGTAATGGAATTGTACTCGTCTCGTCACCTAATAAACTGCTAAGCTTGTCAAATACTTCGTTTGTCCCATTAGGACTTTTGATGCGATTCAAATTTCTAAAGCAATATTTATCAAAATAGCGACTTTCATAACAGTAATGCCAACTCGTATTGTAGTTCTCTTCTCTGTTACTTTAATAACTCAAACCAAACAGCCTTGGCCGTGCTACCGGCAATTCGGCTCGCGTTGGCATCTCGAAAAATACCGAAACATCTCGGGTAGGGATTGTATTTTGTCTTCAACGGCTTCTTTTGACCTAGTAGTACTCGGACAAAGGGCCATGGACTCTCTCAAGATACGCGCGTTCGTCATAGCTGTCTTCTCGTCCTTAGAGATCAATGCTACGTATGCAGGCCGTTAAGCTCATACGAGGGCAAAAGTGTCGTCCTCTGTCCGTTTACGCTTCGTGAACGGGGCGGCGGCAGGGAGATGTGGGTCGGGAGGCCTCGCCTGTCGCTCTTCGTTCTCCGCTGCAACAGGTTTGTGTAGGTCCAGATCGGAGGGGTCCGTTGACGACACTAGTTCATCACTAAGAGAAGGGGTCGACTCGGAATTCGTTTCCATGTCAAATGGATGAAATTTGTGAGCTGTGTGGTGGAGCGGGGGCTTTCAGATAATAGAAGTACCAGACTCCGGTGTGCTTTATAGACACCTGTGAAAATGTCATTGAAGCGAGATTCGTCTTGGTGTTTTTGTGCCTTAACCCCCCCCCGCCCCGCACTTACATTAAAAACAATTTACGCTTAAGTTCTGTAAAAAAAAGGAGGTACGAAACCGTTTATGCACTCCGGGAAGATCACCAGACCAGTGATATTTGATTGCGAATATCCTCGCAAGCCTCTGTTCCTCCATGTTGTCTAATGCACCCACTCTCCAGTGTCAAGCTTAAACTGGGTACATTTCCCACATGTTTGGTGTGTCCCTTGTATTAGAAATGAACTGACTACACACAAATGATTTTGGAAATGCATGGTGACAACATTGATTGCAACTAGAATGTATAGAAACAGGTTAGCTATTGAGTGGTCAGCCTGACTATTATAACATAAACCCAGCAGCACTGTCCTCGTCAGCACTATCACCGTTTCGATAGGTTGCATCGTCGGCCTCTCCGCCGCTGCGCTCACCGCCGTGTCCTCTTCGCCACGATCGGGGCTACCCTGTCCGGTGCCGTCGACACGGCGGCGCTTCTTTCCAAGTCCGTCCATTTGGATGTCTCGAGCAACTCGAGGCGGCGGCCTCTACGTGTCGGATTCACCACAGTGTAGTAGAAACCTTTCTTCGGTTCCGTCAGGACTTGTGTAGGTTTTAAATAGCCACGGAAGGTCCCGAGCTCGGAACGGCCGAGAATCTAGCTGGCGTTTCACCCCAAGTTCGTCTGTGTGCTGATTGGTTTCGCAATACACCTCGAGTTTAGCATGTAGCATAAACGACATGAACAAACATATAGATGCGCTGTATACAAGATGTCATACTTGGCCAAAAAGAAGGGGGCTCCATGACGAAGGTCCGCACTAGATGGCTACGCCACGTACCGGAGACAATACGCGGGTTTTGCGCAGCACGTCAAAAGGGGATTCGCTCTCCATTTGTGGGGCTAGTTCTTCATCAATTATCGGGTGACGTTGTGGCCACTTCTGGAAGGAATTCTGGCCTCGTCGAAGGCCAGTACGTCTGGAGCCTCGAATTCTCTTTTGAACGTAGATTAACGTTTATCGACAGCTTCCAGGCACAATGAACTGCAGCTTCAGCACGAGCAATTTGCTTGGCCGACTTGGCCTCCCTCGCTATGCCCACGCGCGTGGTTTTAAACATCTTCTTCTTTTCTTCGGCTCGTCCTCTTTGCTGGCTTCTTCTCGGGGCTGAGCCTTTCTATCTCTCGGCTTTTTTGCTAACTGAATCGAAACGAATGAGTGGCTGGAAGTTGGTCACAGCTGCGACAAATATGTAAACTGTTCTTGTGAGCAGTGCAGGGGCTTTGTGTTCCAATTTTGCCTAGCTCTGTGCATTCCACATACTTTAAATGTTGTATATATACAACATGTGTGAAATAACGTCATTTTGAAATTTTTATACACATGTTGCGGGGGGGGGGCTTCCCGTAAAAGTCGGTTTTAGTCTTTTTAAACGTCTCTCATAGCTCTCTAAATATGAAACAGTTGGCGGTGACCCGGGTCACACCAATGACCCGATACTCAACTATTCTGTCATAAAACATATGCATTATGTAAGTTTCTGTAATCAGGCAATGCCGACTATCCTTTCCTTGCTGCAGCTCTGGATGCACTGCAGCTTCGATCCAACGTCCGAGTTAAGCTAAATGATGTCGTTCCTAAAATATGTGGTGTCGCCTTCAATATCTGAGGTTGCCGATACTGATTGTTGTTATTGGCGTCGACTGCGTGGTCATTAGTCATCACTGTGCTGCTAGAAGTGCCCGAATTCGAATCATCGATATGTAGGCTGCTTGGTATCTGTGGACGGGGTGTCAGAAAGCGCAGGATAAATGTGAATTTTGTTGTATGAGCTTGTTGCTTCCGAGGTCATCCAATTGGTCGATTTGCTTGCACTCCTACAGCTACTTCTCTCTTCGTACTTCTTGCACCTTTGTAAGCGTCACTAGACTCGTCCTTATTCTCGCTGAATGCTGATTCATCCGGATTGTAAGTTAAATACTCGGCAGGAATCGAGAAATATTTTAACGACAACGATTTGCGCTTTACTGCTCAGCTTTCCCAGTGCCAAGTAGCACGCTCAAATGCAGTAAGTCGATTCCGAGGCTTTTGTTTCTTCCGTGGTGCAGTCTGACTCGAGCCACCTGTGCCGCCAGCTCGTCGTTCTGTGGTAGGAGGGTCGCTCATTTGAGCCAACAGTGAAAGGATCGCAGTCCAAACGAGAAATGGTACTTAATTACCTGGTGCTAAAATTAAATTAATATTTCAGATTTTGCTCAAATAATAGTTGGTGACCCGGGTCACCGCCAATTGGTTCATATACCGTATGTGATTGGCGACGCTCGGTCATTAGCGACAAATCCAGCAGCCAATCAAATTGATTCAAATTTCGTGTCGTCGCGCTTTATGTGCTTGGCGACCAATATAATTTTGAGCATGTCATATAGTTTTTTTTATGCAGGTATCTTTTATGCTGGCAGAAAGGCTGGACCACCTCAAGAATTTGACTGTCGCCAATCACATAAGGAATACGGTAGGTAAAATTATCTGGAAAGCATAATACCGTAGAACGAAAGTACAACAGCCGCGTTTCGATTAATTGCACAGACTGGCTCTTTACTTGGTCGGGCAATGCCCGGGGCATGGTTCAGTGGCTTTTATTAATAAAAGTAGCCACTGGCTACATGTATTAAAAAAACGTCCCTTTGCGCCTGTCTCTATCCATCCAGTCGGGCTAAAAACTATTTAGCAAATAGCATGTAGCGGCTAAATGATATCAATTATAATAAAACCACGTATTTTTAATTAATCCTAGCTTCCGACTTTACACATGGAACAATCGCAGGCACAATAAAACTGATCCGATATTCTTAATGGCTGACATATGGCCTCCTCCATTGTAATACAATAAAAACTCAACAGTTTGTAAGCTTACGGTAAGTTATGAAGAAATAAACGCCCTTCGATAATGCGATTGTTCAGGAGAAGGGAGAGATTCACTGAGTGTACTTCTGTAGACCATAGACAAGTTTTCAGATAGCTATGGCCGTAAAAGTGTAATGCTGATACTCTATTCTTTATAGAGTATAGCAACAAACTTGTTTTAATTCCCTTGATAGCAATAAATTTAAACCATATCGCCATCCAGAGGAACATCAGAATTGAAGCTGTTCCAGTAGCCAGTTTAAACGCAGCTGAAATAAGGATTAATGCTTTGCTTGGACGAGTCGGATGATGATGATGAAGATGATGATCATGATCTGGCGGCATGCGGTAGACTCTGTACGTTTATTTCGTAATTGTCTCAGTAGACTTTTAGCCTCGTTGGTTCGCAGACACGAACAGTCATGATTCGAAACGCTCTCCTGGTGTTGGTGTTCGTGCTTATTGGAACTATTTCTGCTGCTACGGACGCAGACATGACCACTGACTCAGGAAAACAACCTTCCAACATCAACCAACTAACGCTCGTCTCCCCTGAAGGCAAACGACTCCTTCGGCAAGGAAGCGTGAAAGAAGGAGGGGTCCATGACGCTACAGAAGAACGAGCTTTTATCGTGACGCCTTTGAAGAACTCTCTTTACAGGATTCTAGCTGCGTTTGGGCTTAAGCCACAGACCCTCTACGTACAACTGGGCATCCGCACTGGTATGGCTAATGCGTTATACAACCGGCTCTACCACAGCTACCATAGGTGGTATGCCACGTATGGGCCCAGAGTTTACGGATAATGGATAACTGGAAATAGAAGGCTCCATTACAGTATTGATTGATTTATTTCCTTGTGCAGCGTGCACATTTCGCTCAGCTCTAAGTGTTCGCAGCATACGTTTTAAGTGTGAAATGCGGCAAACGAAATGCAAGTAGATGTCGTGCGTAAGGGACAAGGAAGAAGATTAAAGTCCATTACATTCCGTACCAAAGGCAGAGACTATTGACACAAGGGGAGGAATGGGTGTCATGAGGCTCAAATCTCCAAAAGTGGAGGACTTTTGAGTTCTATCACCCTCCTAAACCCAAACCCAGACCTTCCCGGGCATTAACACTATAGGGCCGAGCGAGGTTTAGCCATGCTTGGTCCTGGGTTTAAGCCCGCGTGCTTCACACATGGATCTTAAACCACAGGCATGGATTCGTGTTGCTGAGCGAGTCAGCTTTAAACCCCTTCTCCCTACTCCCCTTATGTCAATAGTCATTCTCCCGTACACTTAATGGTTAAACTTATGAAACAGGTCGCTATACACTACACAAGGAATCTAGAGTGCACCGTCTTTCCAGAGTCATCCTTCCTGTCGACCTACCTCTACACAAAGTGTGTCAAGATAACTCTGTGGCGCGCTTCCTGGTCAGCTCGCAACCTTCTAGAAACACTATCAACACTACATGTATCAGCTCACTTTATTGCTAGTTGAAGCAGTAAAAACCGCAGAATTTGGCGATAACGCGCTGGGTATTCTTCCCCTGTTTCAGTGAAACGCAGCACGTAATTCAGGAAGGAGCGCGAGCTGGGCGCTAAATATCCTTCAATACCTTCTTGAAAACGATCTCAGAGTCAAAAACAACGACGAAGAGTTGAAAAACGCCAATTCTACGCTCCGAAACACACCAAAGGCCGCTCGAGCGGGCCACGGAGACGTCGCGAAGTAGGTATGCGAAAATACTGAAAGCCGCTCTCGAAAGACGAAGAGACGATGAAAGCAGCGGACAGATGAGTTAGCAAAGTGGCTCATGAAGACATTAGACCAATGGTCCAAGAAGCCGCTGCAAATGGCCACTTGGACATGCTCCAATGGATATATAAAATGGTCATTATGACAACGGAATTAGTGCCGTACACTACTAAAAGCAGCCGAGAAAGGTCAGATATATACCGCCCGCTGGCTCATTGAAACATACTGTGAGGGACAGCAAAGCGTTAGTTGGAACGCTGTCGACGCGTGTTCGTTAGTTTTACTCTAACAGCCACTGCTACTACAATGCCATTTTAGAAAATAATCTACTACGAGTACTTAGTACTTGGTTAAATTACCATTGTCCTGAAAGAAAATGTAATTGCAGTAGTAAAAAACACTTGTGGTTTGTATTCAAATGGAGTAAAAACGGTAGACATCACCGAGATCCGATACCATGGTACTCGTAGAGACAATCCAGGCATGGTCAGGTCAAGCCTCAACTGACTTCTGAGGACGACAAGGGCCGTCGTAAGCCAGTGAAACGCCGCGCGTAGGGTGGTTGCACATGACAGAGGTCAGATCACAAAGGGTTGCATAGGTTTGATTGCCGTTGCTACAGACTCGACCCTTGTGTGACTCGCAGTTCCTTTTATCGCACGGGTCCAGCGCTTGGCCAGCAGCATTTGTCGATGAGATCGTCACTGCTAGGAACGCGAGGTAGAAAAAAACCTTCATCTTGGAAATGTGCGAGGGTAGTGTGGCGCTTGTCTGCGAATTGGAGAATGAACTGCGAGTCCCCATGACATTTGCAACGACCGTAATCATTTTGAGACATATTTTTACATTGTAAATACTGTTTTTACCGGTGAGAAAACTGGATTTACTTGTGCGAGACGTAATTACCCTTCATTTTGCTTACTTGATTTAATTGAAGTAGCAGAATCCAATGGGTCTTCTATTACAGTGTAAGGAACTGTTTGGGTACACTGTGCCGTGTCTAATACTGTACTTTAGACAGTCTTTTGAGGTGTTTATACGCGTCTTTATGTATATACACCCAATGCCACCACTGGGTCACCGGTGAGGCGGTAGAGAGGGGGGTCGCTGGAAGCTCGAAAGATCGCCTTTTGCAAACTTCAGAACTGAGGGGTGCTCGGTAAGCTGAGCTCGCTACAAATTCTGAGCAGGGCAGCGTTCTGATGAGGTCATATACTCTTAAAAAGCAAACCATCATTCTTGAGCCGCACATTTCTCAAGAAAATCATTTTTTTTTAAATCAGACAACATTTGCGTGATAATGCTGCTTTGCTGGTTAAAACCGAAGTGAAGTCATTTTTATTAAAGCAGACAACATTTGCGTGATAGTGTTGATTTGCTGGTTAAAATCGAAGTGAAATAAGATTGATGTTATCGTTCTTCCACTTGTTTTTCTGTCCTTTGTGCACTAACTGCTCCTACTTACCGTCGCTACCAATCGATAGGTGTTGTACGATATGAACCAATCATAGGACTGAGTGATGGTCGCTCCTCGGCTACGCCGAGTGGTGACCATTGTGATGAAGGAAGTAGTCGTAACAACAGTAAGTTGCAGGGACTGAAAGTCCAGCAGGGGAGAAAACCGAGTGCTGCTGCTTGCTCTTGACGGCGCAAGTTGTCGAGTGTGTAGCAGCACACGGAAAAACCCCGGTAACATATATTGGTAGGATTAGCAGTAGGATGGGGCTGGCGGCTCGCCAGCCAATGGTCCGTCGAAGTCCGGCTTCTGGACGCGAGCATCGCGTCCTGGAGGCACCTGAGCCTCAGGTTTGAGCTGGACGCAGTCCTGGCTCTTCCTCCACACTTCACACTCCCACTTGATCTAGTCGAAGCGCGGCTTCAACATGATCACCTTGTAGAGCTCACCACGATGTCCTTGGCATCTTCTAGCTGCGCTGCAGCACGACGCTTCGTCCTTGGTAGCGCTCTTCCTCCTTCTTGTCCTTCGTATGCATGAACTGGTAGTAGTAGCTTGCATTCACGCATGGCGATGATGTTTGGCTCCCACTGAACGAGCTGAGCCTTGCTGACGGTCGATGCGCAGCACCTTCATCCCATCACGGCAATGTTCGAACTTGTCCTGTGGCAATGGCTTCGTTATCGCGTCGGCGATCATGTCGTCGGTGCCAACATGGCGAATCCGTAGCTGCTCGTCCTCCACGAGGTGGCGCACCAAGTGGAACTTGTTCATAATGTGCTTGTTCTTGCTGTGCTTGCCAGACTTGGCAGTCAGATAGATGCACGACTTGTTATCGCCGATAATCTCCGGAGTCGCGAGCTCCCAGCATAGTTCTTCACAGAGTCCACGTAGCCACTGTAGATCTCTAGTGCCTTCATTCATGGCAATATACTCTGCTTCCGTTGTGCTCTGTGCGTTAATCTCTTGCTTTCTTGATCCGTACGAAACCACGTTACCATTGACGAACGTCACGAACCCGCTAACACTCTTTCGGTCATCAGGGTCATTAGCGTAGTCAGCATCGGTGTAACACGTCAGCTTGACGTCGTTCCCAATAACAATGTCCATCACAAAGCCGTGGTCTTGAGTACCACTCAGGTAGCGTAGCACCCTCTTTCCCATAGCGTAGTGTGTGTGGTCGAAGCAGGACAGGTACTTGCTGAGATTACGCACAGCGTGCGCAATGTCCGGCCTTGAGGCTGAGACCAGATATTGTAGTGCACCAACGAGCTCTCGGTACGGGGGCGGGGAGTCATCTTTCGCATCTGTGACCACCTCAGCGCGCAGCGCTTCCGGTGTTGCAACCGCGTTGCACCCCTCCATGTGAAATCGCTTTAGCACCTCTGTAATATGTTGCCGCTGGCAAAATACCGCATGTCGACGCTCGCTGTCGATCAGTATCTCCACGCCTAGTAGATACTTGACTGGTCCGAGAGATGTGAGTTCATACTCCTCACTGAGTTGCATAGCAACCTTAGCGCAAAGGTCATTAGGGCCGAGGAGCAGTAGGTCGTCGACGTACACCGTGAGCAACATGGTGACTTCTCCTCCCACTTTCCTGGCGTAGAGTCCGTAGTCAGAGTCGAGGCGCTCGAGTCCGATCTTCGTCAGGAACTTGTGCAATGTCTTGTTCCAAACGCGAGGCGCTTGCTTTAGCCCATACAAACTCTTCTGTAGCTTGCATACATAGCGCGTAGAGTCTTCTCCGAAGCCTGGAGGCTGCTCCATGTAGACCTCCTCGTCGAGGTCACCGTACAAGAACGCGGTCTTGACGTCGAACTGCAAGATGGCCCATCCGCGTTGCAGCGCGTATACGATCACGCATCTGATCGTCTCAAATCTGATAACAGGTGCGTATGTTTCACTGTAGTCGATGCCCATGCGTTGTAGAAAGCCTCTGATCACTAGTCGAGCTTTATATCGCTTAATCCGGCCCGTAGAGTCTCTCTTGAGCGCGTACACCCACTTGCACGAAATGACACGCTTGCCCTTGGCCTCCGTGCGTCGCACGAGCACCCAAGTTTCGTGCTGCTGCTGTGAGTCCATCTCAACTTGCATCGCTGCTTTCCACTCCTTCCACTTCTTTGACCTTGCCGCATGCTTGTGACTAATGGGGATCTGCACATCCTCGACGTTCTGCTTCGTCACATTCGTCACTACGTAGTCCTTGAGTCGGGCGGATGGTTGTCGCTTCCGCTTCGGTCGCGACGTAGCTGCACTGTCGTCTGGCGACGACTTCTGCGTCGTGCATGGCTCCCAGTTCTCGTCTTCGTGAGCATCACGTCGACTGTCCTTGGCCTTCGAGGCTCCCACTCGATTTGCACATGCTTTCGCTTTATTCTTGCCTTTTGTGTTCTTCCGCTTGGAACCTCCCACTGAAGCTGCTGGCTTCTTAGCGTCCTCGCTTGGTAGCTGTGGGTCATCACTTCGAGTCGCAGACTCGGCTTCAACTTCAACACCTTGGTCATGGCTCTTACCAGCAGTAGCCAGCTTCGCCATTTCCGCTGCTCGCTTTTCTGCAAGCTCTGCAGGAAGCTGCAGGTACGTAGACATTGTCGTCCGGATCGGCACGATCGGGATCTCCGCAGGTAAGTCGTAGTCTCCGTAAGCGTAGGTGTTTGCAAGAAGTTGCTCAATATACACAGTGTTTACCGTGTACTTCTCATGTGCCTTCATGTTTCCATCTCTGCACGTCGTCACTGATCCTGTGCGCAGGTTCAGCAGCTTATAGCCCTTGGTCTTCTCGCTGTAGCCAAGTAGTAAGCACATCTGCGTCCTTGGAGTGAGCTTCTCCTTTCTCTGCCGAGAATCATCAGGGATGTGCGCGTGCACCAAGCACCCCCACGTGCGCAGCACGCTGAGGTCTGGCCGCTCTCCGTACAGGGCCTCGTACGGGGACTGCTGGTCCTTCAACACCGGCGTCGGCGTCTTGTTGAGCGTCTAAATTGCATGTAGGAAGGCTTCTCCCCATAATGAAACAGGCATTTGCGTAGCTTGTAACATAGATCTGACCTGCCGCATGACGGTCTGGTTCGTGCGCTCCACGATAGCGTTATCCTGCGGGCTGTAGGGATTGGATGAACGCGTGTCGATGCCGAGGTCCTTGGAGAAGGTCTCGAGCTGCATGTTGACGAACTCGCCACCACCATCGGAGAACAGCATCTTGATGGTCGCCTTCGGGAACTGGTTCTGGATCCAGCGAATCTGCTTCTGGATCAGCTCCGTGGCTTCGTCTTTGTAGGCTAATAGATATCCCCACTTGTATCTCGTAGCTTCGTCGATAATCAATAGAAACTGGTTTGATTTCGATATTGTATCCACTCCAACACTGCATAGGTCGACACAAAGCTTGTGCAAGGGCTTTGCAGAGCGAGACGGCTTGCGCTTGTAGCTCATGCGCTTCGTCTTTGACTCTAAGCATGGAATGCATTCATAGAGAGCAAAATTCTTCGACTGCATGTTGATGCCAAAGTTATAGTCTCCTGCCATAGTCTTGATAGTCTCCATGTTTACGTGGCCCATGCGGTTGTGCAGCAACGTCATGGGGTTCTCAGCTTCACTGGCCTTGACGCTCATCACGTTCTTGCTCTGACGTGGCGTCCACATGCGGTACATCCCGCGGATGTACTTGAAGCGCAGCTTCAATGTGTCCTTGACCAGCCACGTAGTCTTCTGATCATGCGAGATGCGCACCTTGAAGTTTCCTTTGAATTGCATGTAGGTCTGCGAGATCAGGTTGTAGGCAGCCGACTTGGCGTAGCTCACGTCATCAAGGAGGCGCTCCTCGATCTTGCCCGTGTGCTCGTTCAGCACTTGCATAAGCACTGTGCCCACAGTTGCACGCTCGGTTGTGCCGTTGCCGAAGACTAGCTCTGCAACTGAGTCTTCGTGTAGCTCCGTAAACAAGGTAAGGTCGCTCGAGACGTTGGTCTGCGCGCCGCTATCCAACACCCACTCCACCATGTCCTGGTCCTTGTCCTTGTCCTTGTAGTTGAAGTTGTCACGCACCGCGAGTACATGCTCTTGTCCTTCAGCTTGAGTCGGTGCAGCCGACTTGGCTGTCTTCACAGTAACCACATCGATCATCCTGCGCGGCGGGTTGCTCGAGTAGCTGTTGTTGTTACTGTTGCCACGCTGGCGGCACTCAGGATCGCCACTCCAATGTCCTTGCTCTCCGCACGTGTTGCACTTCGTCTTCGCCTTTCGCTTGGCGATGTCATCCCTCGCACTGGATGAGCTC